GTTTCGCCATCCAAGAGGATTCCTTCCCGTAGGTCGGACAGTAAGTGGTAGTAGGCTAAGAAATCGGCTCCTATGATGGGAGTGGTGACGTCTGCTATAATAAAACGCCACGGGAATGCCCGCCGGACGCCTAGATCTGGTTGCACTGTGAGGCTGCCATAGGTTTTTATTACGGAGCCATTGGCTGCAAATAACTCGTATTCTGTAGGCGAGAGGTATCCTGCCGTTTTCGTGCGAGGGTATACACTCACGTCTGAACCGGTGTCGATAAGAAATCGAGTCTTTGTGTTTTTGCACGTTACGTATAGGCGGCGGGGTGTCTGGGCAGGTCGGCTGGCCGCCAACAGTGACTGCCTTACTCTTTTACCGGTTTTTCATAAGTACACGGTTTAGTGCACTTGCGAGCCTTTTCACCAAATCGGTTGTGGTAATAGCAATGCTCGTCGTTGTCTTTCTTAGACTTCCGGCTTCGACTCTGGCTTCTGCTCCTCTCCTGTTTTTTTTTCCTTAGCCCTACCTCTTGAAAGTTGCGTAGTGAGGGTTGCAACTTGTTTCGTCAGAGCTTGCATCTGGGCTTCGAGAGATTTCTTGTCCGGTGAGCCTTTTGTCGAGACGGCCGTTGTAGAGGCTACCACTGTTTTGTTCGTCATTTCGTGTATGCGGTCAGCTTGTTCGGCCACCTGGTCCAAGGGGTCCTCTGTCCGTGTAGCGAGAACCATTTGCATTTGGGAGGGAAGTCTCCCGAGCCAGAGCGAGCGTAGTAAGGCGTCGGGCACGTTTTCGCCTGCTAACGTCCTAAAGTGTCGAAGAAATTGTGAGGGCTTGCGGTCCCCGATGTCTTCGAGTTCTAGGAGTTGTCGTGTACGTTGCTCCTGAGAAACGGACATTCGCGAAATGAGTGCTCTTTTGACTGCGTCATATTTGTTATCTGCAGGCGGTCGTGTTACTACGTCCTTGATCTCCTTTATTTGCGGAGAGTTCAAGTATGCGATGGCGTAGGAGTACTTAGTGTGGTCTTGGGTTATACCGCTAAGAGTGAATTGTTTCCCTCTAGTTGCGTGAACCATAATTCGGGCTCATCGCTCCAAAAGGGAGGTACTAGTACTGCGACTCTGTTTAGTACGACTTCTTCCGTAACCTGTGCCCTAGCGTTTTCTCCTTCCATTGCGATCACGTCGGGGTCACCAATTTTAGGCTCCGCTTAGCCTGTTCGCTCGTCTTAATTACTACGCTTTACGCAGTGGGTGACCGCAAGAGGAAGGGTAGTGGCAGGTAATATTATGGACGCTTAGGTTCGAAGTTATTGTGACATTTTATTTGGGCTTCTTACAGCTTGGGTGTCGACCACCCCTGAACTTCGTTTGGGTTGCCGCGTCCCGGAACGTCTTCTGCACCGTTTGCGTCTCTGCGTCGGCGAGGTACGCCCGGCGAGGTGTGGTCCCGTGGTCGGAGTCGTCGCTTGTGACTAGGCACACCCTAGGTGTCCTGGGTCGTTCCTGTGGCTCTCGTCGGGGGTCCGGTTCTGGCCGACGGTCCGTGGGTGCATCCGTC